CCCGGAGCTCCCCAACGCCCCCCCGGAGCAACCTGGGGTCTCCATGGACCCCCCTGCCGTCCTCGATGCCCTCAGCCTCATCAGCCTCCAGTGCCGGCACCTGACCAGTGGCACCACTACCGGCACTGGGACCAGTATCAGCACTGCTAACAGCACCAGCAACGGCACTGGGACCAGTAACAGCACCAGCAACGGCACTGGGACCAGTAACAGCACCGGTAACGGCACTGGGACCAGTAACAACACTGCTACCAGCACCAGCAACGGCACTGGGACCAGTAACAGCACCAGCAACTGCACTGGGACTAGTAATAGCATCGGTAATGGCACCAGCAATGACACTGGGACCAGTAACAGCACCAGCAAAGGCACCAGTAACAGCACTGCTAACAGCACCAGCAACGGCACTGGGACCAGTAACAGCACCGCTAACGGCATGAGTAACTGCACTGGGACCAGTAACAGCACCAGCGATGGCACCAGTAACAGCACTGAGACCAGTAACAGCACTGGGACCGGTACTGGCATCGCTAATGGCACCAGTAACAGCACTGGAACCAGTAAGAGCATTGATAATGGCATCAGTAATGGCATTGGGACCGCTAGCAACACCAGTAACAGCACCAGTAAGAATGTTGGGACCAGTAACAGGACCGGCAACAGCACCAGGGAGGGCGTTGGGACCAGTAACGGCACTGGGACTGGTAACAGGACTGGTAACAGCACCAGTAGCAGCACCAGAAATGAAACTGGGACCAGTAACGGCACCAGTAATGACACCACTGAGGGCACTGGTCCCAGTAACAGCACCAGTGAGGGCACTGGTCCCAGTAAGGGGCGGCGGCGCAAGCAGGCAGCCCCCCAACGCGGGGCTGACCCCCAGGACCCCACTTTTCGGGGAGTCACCATCCACATGCGCCTGGGGCTCCCCCCGGCCGGTGATGCTGAAGGCTGCTCCCTCCTCATCACCGCCCACAGGTACCGACCCCCCTGTCCGTCTGTCCTGGGCCTCGGCCTGCACTGTCTGTCTGTCCTGGGGCACCCCCAGACCTTGGGCTGCTCTGTCTGTCTGTCCTGGGGCACCCCCAGACCTTGGGCTGCTCTGTCTGTCTGTCCTGGGACACCCCCAGACCCTGGGCTGCTCTGTCTGTCTGTCCAGATGCACCCCATGGCACCTCAGGCTGTTCTGTCCGTCTGTCTGGATGCACCCTGGACCTTGGGCTACTCCATCCGTCTGTCTGAGGACACCCTCAGACCTTGGGACCTTCTGTCCATCTGTCCAGATGCACCCCATGGCATCTCAGGCTGCACTGTCCATCTGTCCTGGGACACCCCTGGAGATTGGGCTGCTCTGTCCGTCTGTCCTGGGGCAACCCTGGGCACTTTGGGCTGCTCTGCCCGTCTGTCTGAGGGCACTCCTGGATGTTGGGCCATTCTGTCTGTCCGTCCAAATGCATCCTGGACCTTGGGCTGCTCTGTCCGTCTGTCCTGGGGCACCCCCAGACCTTGGGCTGCTCTGTCCATCTGTCCAAATACACCCCATGGCACCTCAGGCTGCGCTGTCTGTCTGTCCTGGGACACCCCTGGATGCTGGGGCTGCTCTGTCCATCTGTCTTGGGACACCTCCGGAGACTGGGCTGCTCTGTCCGTCTGTCCTGGGGCACCCCTGGTTGTTGGGGCTGCTCTGTCCGTCTGTCTGAGGGCACCCCTGGATGTTGGGCCACTCTGTCCGTCTGTCCTGGGACACCCCCAGACCTTGGGCTCCTCTCTCCGTCTGTCCTGGGGCAACCCTGGGCACCTTGGGCTGCTCTGTCCATCCGTCCTGGATGCACCCCCAGACCTTGTGCTGCTTTGTCCGTCTGTCCGGCTGCACCCCTACACCTTGGCCTGCCCTGTCTGTCTGTCCACCTGCCCCCTTCCCATCCACCCCACAGGGCCCCCCCATTCTTTGGGGGCTCCCCCTCCATGAGGAGTCCCCCTGACCCCCCCTGTTTTCCCACAGGGACCCCAAATGGAGCCGGGGCCGCCCCCCCCACAGCACCCCCCCTGGGGGGGGCAGCAGCTCGGAGGATGACGCCCCCCTCCCCCAGGGTAAGACGGATTTTGGGGGGAGGGAGGGTCTGGGGGTGCCCCCCTCAATATGGGTGGGATTTTGGGGTACAAAATATGTGGGTGTCCCCCCCAGGGATGAAACG